AAGCATGCAAATCTGGGCGTGGGGGTGGGAACTGCGTCAGTGTGTGTGTAACTAACGTGCGTACATGCAGTTATGTACACCTTTATAAATTTATACATCACCATCACCAAAAACACTGGCAAAATGAAATACCGCCAACAAATCCTATACAGTAATAAGAAGACCAGACACCCGATGGCAGAGTGAGGTTTTTTACATTGCAAAACTTCTACTTAAAATATATGTTTTTATCAGATACATTGTATGTATTCACGTGTCCTATTCCAACACCAAGCAGTTCTTAACAACAGCTTCGCGCAAGAGTCGCAAAATACAGATTCACTTTATTAAAGGACTATCGATGTCCTCTAGATTTTAAATCCCTCCACAAGGCTTAAATACATTCGGTCTAGAATGACAAACCAAATCGTCTAATTTTTACTAAACTTTTCAAATTCATTAAGATCTTTCTAGACATTTTGGCTTTTTCCCCCTATGGCCAATGACTTCATCGATAATTTTTCACACCAACCAATTTTCTGGCTTTATTGATGTAGCAATTATCACACAAACAGCTATGACTGACATTAACAAATCTCATTTAACACCTTTGTTCGAGTAAAGTTCAAAGCGAAACACAACCCACATGATAACGACCATTTATCACAGGGATAAAGACAGACAGAAACAGTGGAGGAAAAAAAAAAGAAGTACATGACCTACCAGCCGCGACCTTAAACTACATGCATTGCCACATCACAAACTAGCTCGCAAAAGGAAATATCATTCAACACTACTAACAGCAACATCCCCTCACTATTTTCTTTTTTCTGGTTCGTTTTAGTGTTTCATGGCACTTGCAACACAATAAGATCATATAAGTGCTGAAGACTAGAGGCATAACAAGAGAGTAACAAACACGAAAAAGAAGGAGGGGAGATAAAGAAGATAGACGTTTGATAGGAAAGAAGAAGCAAACCATACCAGAGCACTCGCCAACCACCCACCACTATTTTCTTTGGCCTGAAGTATTTGATTTTTAAAAAAAAGGAGTACAGCTACATAATTTCGATCATTGTATATTTAGAGAAACCTGTTAACCAGATTTCAATAAAGCGGAAAACATAAATTTAGTTTTAGTAAGAGTTTTACAGAACTCGCAACACAACTAGGTCATATAAGTGTCAAAGATTCAGAGTTACAAGAGACTGACAGTAGCATACAAAGAAAAAAAAAGGATAGATGAAGACGACAGATGTTCGGTAGGGAAGGAGAAAACAAAACCAGAGCACCCGTCAACCACCCACAGACAACACCAGACAAAAGCGAGATCACAGACAGAAGTGAAAGGAACAAGAAATTCAGTCTGAGTTTATCTTCTCTCAGTTTGTCTGTTCCAGTACAGAGGAACCACATTCACACAAAACCGGGTTATTTAGTGAATGAAAAAAAATTAAGACAAACAAGACAGAAACAAAAGAAAGGAAAGCAAGAAAGTAGGAAGTAAAAATGGCACCCTTCAACCACATATCTATCCTCTCAGAGTTGAAAAATAATTCTCAAGAAACTCTTCCCTCGCCCATGTGACAAAACGCTGAGACAACCAAGAGGCAAGGGAAAGGTAAGAGGACCCTGCAGTAGGCGAGCTGCAGAGAGACAGGAGTATTTGGTCCACAACTGACACACCGAAATGAGCCACAGGATCCCATGAAAACGGTGAAATGGTATCAATAGGTTAAACGCCCCTATCAACATTAATAGGTTATTTAAAAGAGGCGGGACCTCCGAGTTTAACTTCCATTTCCGAAAGGACCGAACCAAAAGGGAAATTTGAGTAAAGTGTCTTTACCAAAGACACAACGTCGAACTGAGCTGACGTTCAAACCCACAGTCCACTACCCTAACCACTAGGCCACTGATGCCACCACAGGATCCCCGGTACCAATAGTACACTCAATGACTGCCTCGCCCGCTCACAACAAAGCTCCAAAGCTTAGTGCAAATACTCGTATTCCCATGTCCAAGTTTCATTCCTTTCTCTCACCCCGACGCAAAATGGATGATTCGAAAACCCTAAAGGGATCAGAGAAAGAATAACTTTTTTTTCTTTCTACTTTTTCCAAAGCAAGAAAGGGTCATTGTTGTATCTCTTTACGACGTAAACTCAAAATCCGTTTCAGTCTGCCTGTTTCAAGGTGATAAACTATTCGCACGCACACTCATGCACACACACACTGCCACAGAAGTACACACACAGACACTGATACAGACACCAGACACAGATACAGACACACAGGCAAGCACACACTGCCACACACACACAAACAGTAACACTCCTACACTACTCAGGAAAAAGCACAAGCAGAACAGGTGGGAGAACAAGGAGGGTAGGAGGAGAGGAGGCTTGACAAAACACAATCAATATACAACAGCTGGACACAGACACACACACGAGCACACCTAAACACATGCACAAATGTTTTCATACAATATCTTTGGGGTTGTTTTGTTTTTTTACACATCAGAATACCCACCAGTACTCACATGTACAGACTTAGGACACAAAAATACTCATATGTACACACTTTAACAACCACACACTCACACAGGACAAGAAGAAGAAAATATGTAATTTATGTACTCTCATAGCCCAAATCAAAGAAAGAGAAAGAATCTGCCATTACCATTATTCTAAACATTATATGAAAAACTGAAGAAGATGGTGGTACTGTTTAAACTCGTGTATAAAGACACAGCAATGCCAAATAAAACATCATTATTCTATATTACTTCTCACAATACTTTCTGAGCAGTCTTACTGCCAAACATCCCGGTGGGTGGTTGACGGAAGCTCTGTCAAGTGTGGTTTGCTTCTTCTCCGCTATCAAACATCTACCATTCTTTTTTTGGTTGTTTTTTTACTCTCTCGTAACACCTCTAATCTTCGGCACTCATATATGAACTTATTGTGTTGCAAGTTCCGTAAAACTGTAACTAAAACTGAAATACATCCCAGGGACGTTATTACTGTAGGCCTGGTACTACTGTGTCAGGTGTCTTCCATCTTCTTGGCACTTGGCACAAGCACTAAAAGAATGACACCAAGAAGAAAAACGCACCCAGAACTTTCCTGCTTGAACAATGAGTCTCTCAATACACCTAACATTTCTTGTAACAGCAAACGCCACAATCGTATTAATCATAAAAACCTGCTGAGTCGTACTGTGAAACATAGATGTGCACAAGGTAACCCATGCCAGGGATGTAAGATGCAGACAATAAGACAGGCATAAAAAAACTATTCCAAAACCCAAAACAAAACAAAAAAACAATCCCAAAGCAGAATGAATGCAGACAGCGAGGCTAAGAGGGAAAAAAAAGAAAAGAAAGAAAAACAAACGAAAAACGTAACCACCAGTTCACATACACTGTTCACATCCAAATACCAGAATAGAATACCATCTCCTGCGGGGTTTATTTTGTGTGGGGGAGGGGAAAAAGAAGAGATTCTTTTTTTTTGCTAATTGTAAATAGGAGATATAGAGAGAAAGGTAGCGCTTCTTTGTCTTGTCTGTTTTTCACTATTTTAAATTTATTTTTGTTTAATTAATCAAAATCAGATGCACTTCGTGAACTGCAATTATTAACAAGTAACAAATAGGCGACGGAGATTTTCCCCCCCCCCAATGGACCAAACTTTCAATAGGTGAAGGATCGCCTGCAAATGTTTGGCACACCCATCAAACACAGGTTAGATAATTTAGGAACCAGGATCAAAGACAGAAAAGACATATATTTGATTTACCCTTTCGCAACCTCAGGGCCCTATCAAACAAGCAAATGTACTTGCAATATAATATAATTATAAATATAAAACAAAACCAAGACGATCTTATTTATATTCAAAAGTACATAAAACTTAGTTAAAATATACCACACACTTCACAACTGCAAGAAAAAGATGGTCACTTTTTGTATGAACGCATTTACATTTTCTTCTTTCCCACTCTTTCAGAAAAAAGAAAAGTTATCTTCAACTCTATTTCAACATAAAAATTTACACAAGACTTCTTGAGCATTCAGAGAAAGTGCAAGTCAAGTAGAATTAATCTTTGCTATTAACTGCATTCAGCATTGATACCTCGAACTGTGTAATGTGGATTATGTGATCCACCATTACTCATTACTTTTATCATTAGTGCTTCCATAAAAGATAATAAATAGCATTTTTAATACGATTCAAAATCACCATGCACATGCATTTGACTGCCAAGTGCTGGGGGCAGTGAGTTTTATCATAATTGATTTCGGAATGTGTGTGTGCCATGTGTGTGTTTGTGCACCAGTATGTGTGTTTGAGTACCACATTTGTGTTTGTGTGCTAGTGTTTGTGTTTATATGCCTGTGTACGTGTCTGTGTGCCTGTGTTCGATTATTTTGCTGGACAATGTCATCATTCTGCTTCAAGACAGGTTTACTAAACAGGACCACCATAAACAAAACTTATGAAAAGACTGAGAATACAAACAAGCCAGTGTCAAGTGCCAGTCTTTACTACAGATCAGTCAAGTGCAGGGTTCTCATGCACAGACAGACAGGTCATGCCACCACATCATGCCCTAGTTGCAGGCATCCTAGTGTAACGGAAACATTCCAAACGCTAAACAAAGTCAATGAACATGCAGGATGCAGTAACCTGTGGAGGAATCCACCAATCGTTGCAGCAGAACAAAACAACAAACCTTGCCACAAAAAAAAGGGGGGAACGGGCGGGGGGGATGAGTAGGGCAAAACTGACCAATCAAGTGCACCAAATTCCAAAGCACAAACACTAAAAATAGTAACACCGTAACCAGAACAAAAACACGGGTGTGAGCGGGAGCAAGGCAAGCCATACCCAAAACAAAACGGCCGAGCATTAAAAAACCCGAGGGCACCAGGCAAAACAAAACAGTGTTGGTGTGAGAAGGAGGGGTGTTAACAAACTGAAGGGAACGGGATGCAGTTAAACTTTCTGCTACCTTGTCCACCTCTTCCGTATCTTCATCATCACCATCATCTTCTTCTTCTTCATCTTCTTCCTCATCGGCGGGAGGCGTCTTCATTGGTTCTAACTTGATCTCCTCCTCCTCCAAAGACCTCCCGTCCTGACGTGGCTGTGGCTCTCGATGGAACAGGACAGAGGCGTGCACACTCTGGTATGGCCGCAGACAACGCGAAGGGTTCTTACGGCTCCTGTTGTTGGTCTGAAGACCCATGCTGCCACCCGCCGCACACCCAGGCTTGACAGAGGAGGAGGAGGGGAGGAGAGTAGAGGTGGAGGAGGAAAAGGCAGGATTTGGGGAGGAAGACAAAGGGGAGCGGTGATGAAGAGAGGTGTCGGGCTCAGACACAAAGGAGGTAGGACTGAGTTTGAGAGAGAGGGAGACCGCGGCGGGCTGGGTTGGGGAGTGGGGGCTGTGAGGGCTGCTAGAATTAGTGCGGCCGTTGGCACTGTATCGAGACTTGGTCCTCATCGTGCTGCCACCACTGGCTTTACCAAATTTGTTGTTATTGTTGTTGCTGGTTCCGAAACCGTTGAGTAAAGCGGAGCCCGGACCCCTGCCAAGATCATGGCCATTGGAGAGGTGAATCTTTGGTGACTGTCTGGAGGGGTGGCCAGTGGGTGTGCTGTGTGAAGTGGGAGGAGAGGACTTTATGACCGTATGCATGGACAGGTCGCGCGGAGCGTCCTCTGCCTGGGTCAGTTTGGGGGTGGACAGGTCCATAGCGTCCAGCGGCGGTGTGCTCATGGCACGGTGGTGGGGGTGGTGGCCATTCTCGCCGAGGCCAGGGGGTGGGGTGGGGGTGGAGGCGGTGGGGAGAAGGCCGAACGGGGGGATGATGGCGGGGGGGAGGTAGCCATTCATGATCTCCGGGACAATGACGTCGGGCGGGGAGCGCTCTCTCTTGAGCCCCGTGAGGCTGAGCGGAGACATCTGGTCGCGGGGGTGATGGTGGTTGCTGCTGCTCATGGCCGCGGCAGCCGCAGCGTTCCTGGCCACCGTCATCAAGTACGACTCGGGGAACATGGGGATGTTGAGTGGGCAGTGCGCCGAGGTCATCAACATAGCCGCCGAGGGGGAGGGCGGGGGCGGCAGCTGGAGACCCCCTCCTCCCACAGTATCGGGCCTCAGGAAGCTTGTCCCGTTCTGCCCGACAGAGATGAGAGGCCCAGGGGTGTCAGAGGCTGGTGACACACGCTGGGAGCTGCTGAGGTTGCTGTCCTCCCCATCGCTGCTCTTGTTCTCGTAGTCAGCCGCCATCTTGGACACGTCGTTGGGCGCCTCTCCGTCGTCGATATAACAGTTGTGGCTGCCCAGGATCTCCACAAACCAGCAGTCCACAAATCCCAGACGCATGGTCAGCTTGACCCGGAAGCTACACTTGTGACCCCTGACCTTGATTTTGTCGCAGCCTGTGGGAGAAACAAGGGAGAGAAACACATGATAATTCAACCCTGACAAGGTGCGACAGTTCATTTCTTTGAGTAAAGACGCGCACATTGACACTACAATAGCAGACATTTAATACTGGGGGAAAACAATCAAACAGAAACACCAGACGGAAAAAAAAAAAGTTGGACACCCTAGTGACGCCCTACAACCACCCACAACCCTAAGGGTTAGGGTAAAAATACCCAATTATAAAACACCAGACATGAGAAAGCAGAACAGGTGGACCAAAAACCAGTCAGTTCCACACCTCCATACAAGACGCAGGTTCATTTGATCCAAGACAATATTGGCAATGACAAAAATACACATACATGTACATCCATTTCCCGACAGAAAAAAAAATCAAGACTAAAAGGAGGAATTTAAAAAATGGATGGACTGAAAAGAAATAAAGCAGGTGTACTGATGGTGCCCTAGTAGTAGTGGTGGCTGTGGTAGTGGAGGGGAGGGGGTTGGCTCTGGTGGAGATGTCTAAAAATAAATCTAGCGGCACGAAAATGGGATTACGCATGTCTCTTCCTGCAGTTTTACATGAGATCATGAAATGAGGTTAAAAAAACGGGATGAGGTTTCCAAGTAAACTATTTTTTACTCTTGAAGTACAAAGACTACAAATTCATCACCTTTGTTAAATATGACCCTTTTACACTAGCATATATGTGGTGTAATGGTTAGAGATGCTTCACCGATGTACACAAAAGATAAGAGTTCAATTCTCGAGTGGCGAAGTCGCATTTTTGCTGTAAGTATCTTTATATGCTAGGATGCAACGTATCCCACTCAGCCCAGGGAGGCTTCCAGGTTGAAGTAGCCTGCCTCCTAAATGCTTTAAACTGTGTCCACAGGGGCGTAAAACATTTACAGCTATGTCCATCAAATGACGCTGTGCACCATGTAGTGTAAGTTGTCAGAGAGAAGGAAGGGAAACATGCTCAAGTGACTTTGTTTCGTTTGTATGAGGAAAAGCACATCAACTTAATGGTCATAGGGTTTTGGGGAAAGGTAAGACAAACAGACAGGATCAACAGAGAGAGAGAGAGAAAGAGAGAGAAAGAGAGAGAGAGAGAGAGAAAAAGAGAGAGAGAGAGAGAGAGAGAGAGAGGGAGAGAGTGAGAAAAAGAGTGCAAGAAAGAGAAGCCACTCACCAGAAACACAAGCTCCGTATCCTCCACACGCCCGCTTGCAGCCCCCTGTCCCGCTGCAGTACAAAGTCTCCCTGGCCACCACAATCTGTGGCACATTGCGGGCGCGGCCAGCTCTAATGGACCCATTCTCCAGCACCATCTTGCCAAACTCGGTGAGGGAGAAGCGATCGTCCAGGAAACTGACACCTTTGTGGACGTCCACGTAGATCTTGTGCACCTCCCGACCTTTCCGCAGCATGCTCGCCTGGCGATAAGTGTCCACGCCATACAGATATTTGCGCAGGTCGCCGCAGCAGACCTTGACGCCTTTGAACTTCTTTGTGGACGTTGAGAGGTTGTTTTTGCCATTGGTGGCAGGGGGAGTGGAGTTGGCCACCATTCCTCCTGTGGGGTCCGAACTCAAGATCTCCGTCTTTGTGTCTGCCATAGCTGATAGCTAGCGGTATATATCAGTCCTCCACTCGGCCACACAGCGCCAGCAGAGACTACTTTAGTTGGTAACAAATTTCAAATCAAGAAGTCACAAAGCAAAACTAGGGTATAAAACAGCAAGCAGATCCGTCCAATCAAAAAGTAAACACAAAACACACACACGAGGCTATGGAGTGAAGAATGAGTCAAAAGTGACACGCGTAATCTACATACAGTTAGTACAAGTGAGACAAAATACACACAGCATGTTTCTCACAGCAAACACATTATCAGAGTATTAGGAACAATATGGCTTCTGTGGGGGGCGGGGGATTGTGAAAACTTCACGGTCTGACTAGCTTCACAGAGCAAAAACCTACTGGAAGATGCAGAGATTAAATAGCCAATATATAAACAACCTCAGACATGTACAGTTTATAAATATCACTGCAAAGAAATATAAGACACTGAGACTAAATGACTAGATACTCACGACAAAGCAAGAGCAGACAAAGATGACCAAACAAATACAACTTGACTGTGGAACTGAATAAAACACAAACAAACCAAGGGCAAGATCTAAGATGCTAATAAAACCATTGCGTAAACTTCCTTATCAAGGCATAGTGGTTGAGGGAAGGAGGGTGGGGTGAAAATATCTCACACGTCAGTTTCAGTTAAGTGAGCAGACAGCCACCGGCACAGTTTTGCCGTCCACATGATTGTTGAGCATTTTTCCGCACACAATAAGAGGAACTGATACCCCACACAAGAGCTGCCATAGTTCTAGAAGTTTATTTGTGTCCTTGGAGTTTATTCGTGAGTCCTTGAAGTTTATTTGCGTGTCTTGCTGCTATTTATTTGCAAGTCCTTGTAATTACGTGCATGTTCTCGAAGTTAGTTTTGCGTGACCTTCGAGTATATTTGTATGTCTTTGTTAACTTTGTAGTTAATGAACGTTCACAAAGTCATGTTCCGCAACACATCACAACAACAGTGGCTCAGACTCGGACAGAACTAGAGGTCAGTTTGTCTGTGTGTCCGAGGAGAGCAGGCACAGGAACACACTTCTATCCCCGTCAGCTTTTGTTGGGTCACTCGCACGGTGAGCTGTGTAGAATAAAACTGGACTTAAAACCTACACATTTAACAGCACACACACACACACGTGCCACCTGCACAAGGCACAACTAGAACAGGTAGGAGAGAAATGCAAACCCAGAGACACAGCAACTGACACAAGATGAATAAAGAGACAATCTCTGGCAAATCACTCGCGCGCGCGGGGGGGGGGGGGGGGGGGGGGGGGGTTGATGGCATTTTCAAAATTTCTTGGGACTGTTGTTTGTTTGAGTACTGAGAAGTGCACTGGCATGATAAAATTATCATGGCCTTTTGGAGTTACGAAAAGCAAAACTGAAAAACAGATTGACATATTTTTCTTAATTTCTTATTATGCGTTTCCTTGTTTAAGAGCAAAAACATAAACTGACAAAACAATTGTCATTTAATGCTAGCAGGGAACACAAGACTCACAGATAGAGAAAAAGAAAAGGAAAAAAGAGGAACAAAGTCGGCCGTAACAACAGTGGCACCCTCCAACCAGCTGTCTTGAGAGTGTACAATAGGATGAAATGTTGATTTGTTTTTCAGTAAAACGTATAACTTTTGGATAATGAGGCCACGTGATCCTATAATGTTGGGTTTCTGCTTCTCAAACCACTCAGGCCTCAACATGGCTTCTTAATTTTTACAAATTTAAATTTTTAAAAGTTTTTTGTTATGACCCCTACACAGTTTTCTCATTAAATTTTCTTTTTTAAATCACTATATATATTGTGAAGTTCACCGTCTTGTCTGATTTTTATAAAGTCATTAAACTCCAAAGCAACAATACAGTAATAAATAATACTCAGTGTCCAAAGACAACATTATAACAATGTACTGTTCTGTACCTCGTTTTTTTTTTCCTCCTCCCCAGCCAGGTGTGTTTTTATTTTAACGTGTTTTGTTTCTAACAAACAATTAGAAAATGGTGAAATGGTATGGGTTTAACGCCCCTATCAACGCGATTAGGTAATTTAAGAGGCGGGGCCTCCTAGTCCTAGTTTAACGTCCGTCTCCGAAAGGACCTAGCCAAGTGGGAAATTTGTGTAAAGTGCCTTTCCCAAGGACACAACGTCGGGCCGAGCTGAGGCTCGAACCCCCGACAAACAATTAAAACCAGAGAGAGGGAGAGAGAGATTGTAAGAGAGACTAGAGAAACAGAGTTTTTTTAAGTTAGTTTAGTAAAGAGTTTTACGGCACTTGCAACACAATAAGGTCATATAAGTGCCGAAGATTAGAGGTGTTACAAGAGAGTAACAACAAACGTAAAAAAGAAGGAGGAAAGATAAGGACGATAGATGTTTAAGAGGAAAGAAGGAGCAAACCACACCAGAGCACCCGCCAACCACCCACAGAGAAACATAAAAAGAGAAAAAGAAACAGAGAGAGATTTTATGATGCGAGACACTGCCTCACACAGAAGGACAGAAGAAGTGTGTAACGTCACATTATGGAACCCAGCAACACGACAAACTTACACAAGAGTCGCAACTGACATGATTTTGCATTTTGACTTAAAATCAAGTAAGTGCTCAAGATTAGCAGTGTCACAAAAGAGCAACAAACACAAAAAAGAAGGAAAAGAGATAAGGATGATAGATGTTTGAAAGGAAAGAAGGACCAAGCCCACCAGAGCACCAGCTAACCACCCACTAACACTACAATTGCAGCCAATTTTATTTCTTAACATTGACATCATTGCAAGAAGTGATCAAAACAACTGTCTGTCTGTTCTGACATAACAACGCCCATTTGTAGCAGACAAAAGTAAGACAGACAGGCAAACAGAAATGGCTGAAGGAAAGAAAAGTAGGACCTACCAGTGGCGCCCTCCACCCTCCCACTCATTTGAACTCCTGTACAACAAAACTGGCCTTGTCACAAACAACAAGTCCAAAGTCGTAAAGACAGCTGCAAACCTGAGATGGACACAACCAACTGGTACAAACATTCCCGTCTCCGACGACATTTCGAAGACGAAGAATCACTGAGACCAAAAACAAAAAAAAAAGAACTCCAACAAAAAACCAAACCAATCCTCACAGACTGAAGTCATGAAGCAAAGACAAAAGGCTCCCGCAAACACTGCGACTCAACTCACTATCTATGTGGCCGCCTGATAAAACCGTCAGAGGGCAACTGCAGGGGACAAACAGACGGACAGTAAGCTCCAGCCACAGGTATATATAGGCCAGCCTACCTCTGGTACTGGGAGGCCTCGCACAAACAGATAGCTGGAATTAGAAACCGACCCACCCATACCCCCACTCCTTTTCAAGACTTTTACCATGGCTTATGATAGCCAGCTCAGTAATGCCACCTGTCTGCCCCCAACACCAACCCTCCTCAAATCTCTGTATCACCTCTATTCAAACTCTTATAGGTAGTTTGAAGAGTGGTCAGGTGGAGAGAGGGAGAGGGAGAGGGATGGAGGGGAAAGGGAGGGGGAGAGGGAGGGAGAGGGAGAGGGAGAGAGAGGGAGAGAGAGAGAGAGAGAGAGAGAGGGGGGGGGGATGAACACAAAGAAAGGGATAGAAGGAAAGAAAACAAAGATAGAGAAAGAAAAAGAGAAAGGGAGAGCGAGAGAGAGAAAAAGTGAGTGAACGTAAAAGAAAAAAGGTGCCGGGGTTTACAAAAGTAGAAAACGTGAAAAAGAGAGAGAGAGAGAGTAAGAGAGAAAGAGAGAGTGAGAGAAAGAGACAGAGAGAGTATGAGAGAGAGTAATTACGTAACAGAGAGGGTGAGAGAAAAAATTTGAGAGAGAGAGAGAGAGAGAGAGAGAGAGAGAGAGAGAGAGAGAGAAACAGAGGACACCAGAGCGGAGAGGTAGAGAGCTGAACAATGCACCCAGTCTCCTATCAGCAGCTGACAGCTCCCAGCAATACCGGCCGCAGCCGGCCACCCAACGGTGGAGTGAGGTGCCACACAGCAGCTGGGGGATGGAACCACGACAGGTGCTTATCTCTCGCTGGTGCCATCGCTCCACACCAGCTCTACGACCCGGGTCTACCTAGACCACGGGGACACACACGCGCGCACACACACAAACATTTTCTCATTATAACAGGACATTGGAAACGTGTCTGTCACAAAAAAGTCACCCCAGTCCTAGAACCACAGGGACAAACATACTAGAGGACATACAAACAAAACATTCCTGTCCAAATGGTCATATATAGAGACATATATATTATATTATGTCATAACTCATATAAAATAAAGACATACGTCTGTCAAAACAGTCATTTGAACACACACACAAGCACGCATGCACACACACAGGACAGAAGAAATGTATCTGTTGTGATAGTTTTTTGTAAGAGTTTTACGGCACTTGCAACACAATAAGGTCATATAAGCGCCAAAGAATGAAGATTAGAGGTGTTACAAGGGAGTTAGTTATAGTAGAGGGTTTTACGGCACTCGCAACTGCATAAGGTCATATGAGCGCCAAGGGGTGGGTGTCAACAGAGAAGTCATTACAGGGAATCAGACTTACTCAGCTCACCTCTCTAGCTACAACAGCACAAAGTCTGCTTCGACTATCAAGGCACCCCGGAAACAGCAGGTCACAAGAGTGTGACAAACATACAAAAGAAGTAGAGGAAAATGACATTAGTAAGGATTAGGAAAGAAAAAGCAGCAGTTCCCTGTTGTAGATGAGGCACAGTCATGAGCGTGACATGATGAATCAGCCCATTTACAATTCTACTGGGCTTGAACGAGAAATGTCCCCCCCTTTGGGAATGGCCTAAAGACACTACAGTCAGTGGCACTGCACGGGTTGGGGGGGGGGGGTAAAGGGAGTAACAAACAAAAAATAGAAGGAGGGGAGATCAGGACGATAGATGTTTGATAGGAAAAAAGGAGCAAACCACACCAGAACCCCTGCCAACCACCCGCTGTGATAGTCATATGAGCACACACACACACATGCACGCAAAAATAATACAAACATACACTACAACATAAAAATAGAATATGTCGTGATAAATAGAAGTACACACACACACAAATACAATCATACATCACAGCAACTGAAAAGTGCATGTTGTGACAGTCGTACAAGCACATACAACGCTCTGTAACTAATGCGGACATCTCTGTCCAAATGTCTACAAATACTTGAACCTGATCCCCAAAACCATAATCACTTTACTTTAAAACACATTCTTTTTCCCAGAACGTAAAAAAAGTGCGGTTATAAGCAAGTCACGGTGACTGTCATAATTGAGATATATATATCTTCACACTCAGAAGTTTGGTTGTTTTGTTTGGAATTTTTTTTTTATTAAAAAAAAAATTAATAGGTTGAAGGAGGGGAGAAAGAAGATAGATAAAGAGAGAGAGAGAGAGAGAGAGAGAGAGAGAGAGAGAGAGAGAGAGAGAGAGAGAGAGAGAGAGAGAGAGAGAGAGAGAGAGAGAGAGAGAAAGAGAAGGGGGGGGGGAGAAGGAAGAGACTGACTTTTCTGAATAAGGAAGAGATTAACTTTTCCGAATAAAAGTTAGGCAAATCCACAATTTAACTTTCTTCTCAAAAGGACAGAAAAAAAAGACAGGTAGTTAGTAATAAAAAAGAAAAAGAAAACCAAATTTTTAGTGTGCCTGGAGTATGGTGTGTGTGTGTGTGTGTGTGTGTGTGCGTGCGCGCGTGTGAGAGAGAGAGAGAGAGAGAGAGAGAGAGAGAAAGAGAGAGAGAGAGAGAGACAGAGAAAGAGCATGCACATCCTGTGTGAATACATGTGTGTGGTTCACTAATCTTTTAAAACAGTTTTCAATATTCAGCATTTGACACCCATTAAAATAATATGTTTATCGCTTTCACAAAGCCAGCATGTCAGGGTAGAGAGAATCAGTTACAATATATGCATGAGTATCAGAGAACGCCATAAATTCCAAATCAGATATAAAACGGGTAAAAAAATCTGGTGTACATTTTATGTACCCAGGCTCATTTGCAATTCCCCGAGCGACGGCGCAGATTTATCTTAATAAAGAGAAAG